AAAAAAAAAAAAAAAAAAAAAAAAAAAAAAAAAAAAAAAAAAATAAATGAATAAAAATAAATGAGGGGGATAGGAAAAGGGCCAGGAAGGTGGGATTTGAAATGATTTATGAGTTTCAAAAATGCTGTTATTTATTTATTTATTTAGAGACAGAGTCTTGCATTGTCGCCCGGGCTGGAATGCAGTGGGGTTATCTCGGCTGACAGCAACCCCCGCCCTCCAGGTTGAAGCGATTCTCCCGCCTCAGCCTCCTGAGTAGCTGGGATTACAGGCACTTGCCACTGCGCCTGGTTATTTTATTTATTTATTTTTTAAATTTTCAGTAGAGACGACGTTTCACCTGTTAGGTTGGTCTCCATCTCCTGACTTCGTGATCCATCCGCCTCGGCCTCCCAAAGTGCTGGGATTACAGGCATGAGCCACCGCGCCCGGCCTATTTATTTATTTATTTTAAAAATTATAAACAGAGACAGGGTTGGGTGTCACCATATGCCCAGTGTGGTCTTGTACTCCTGGCCTCAAGTGGTCTTCTGGCCTAGGCCTGCCCAAAGTGTCGGGATTACAGACATGACCTATCAACGCCGGGCCTGGCTTTTGTGTTTTTGGTTTTTTTGTTTTGTTTAATTGAAGCTTAAGGTGCCTGACAGTCTGCGAGCTCCAGCTGGGAGGCGAATTCAGGTTTCGCTGTGGGGACGGAGGGCGGCGTCTTGAGAAAGCTGGACCCTAAGGTGCCGCAGCTGCGCGCTGGGGAGGAGTCCCAGGGTCATTAACTGATCTTCGGCTGCTGGGAAGCAGCGGAGTAGCAGCGTCCGGGTGGGGCGGGCCGGCTGGTGCCGGGGACTTTCTTCCGCCTGGTCAGGCAGATTCCTGTTTTTTGTTTTTCAAAATTCAGAAAGTATCTCTCAATATTTGTCCAGAAGCGTCTGAAACATACTTCCCTGGTCCTTCTTTCACTTTGTTTTATTTCTATGTGGACAAACAATGGGAAAATGCCGCGCGTCTAGCCAGGCAGATAAGAAAACAGCCATACCGTCAGGCCCCCTACCCGGCGCTGTTATAAATAGCGCCCGCCAGCCATCATCGTTCTCTTGGCGCGGTGGGTTCGTGCTTTGGGTGTGTTGCATGGTTATTGTCTTTATAGCGCCTGCTGCAGACCCAGCTGCCGAGTGATGGGGAGCAGGGGATCCCTACGGCCTGCGCTGCCTTTGCGCAGCAGGCAGCGTGCGGGTATATCGCGGCCCCCAGTCGAGCTGGGTGAACTAACATTGCAGATAAGAATTTCTAGTGTCGCTGCTTGGAACCGACCTACCTCGTGGCCGGGGGAACTCGGCTAGCCTCGCCACAGCCTCTGCTGATTCATCGCAGTATCACAACGGTGAGCAGGCTCATGCAAGATGGGGGTGGCAGTCGCCCGGGGAGAGGACGGGAGTGATGATGACCCTAGGTGACTCTGAGTGTGTCGCTGACGCCATCACCGCAGCGCTCTGACTTTCCCTAGGTCCACGATTCCTCGACCTGGGCTCAGCGAGTTCATGGCCAAGATCTTTTGTTAATCTTTTGTTCCTGTGTTTCATTTCCCCGTTAGGAATTGTAAGACGTCCATCGCTGTATTATCCTTGAGTAAAGGTGAGTATTAGTTGCGAGAGCCTTTTGAGTGCCTCTTGGGAAAGCTTTGCTCCCAAGCTTTCGTTCATGGGCATTACGGCCCCCCCCC